TTGATCACCTGCTCTGGGTCGTTGTGGTAATGCTCCAGGTAGGCCAGGATGAAGCCCCCCCCAAGGTCCAGCAGCAGGTCCTTCACTTGGGAGATGAGTGAGTCCAGCTCAACACTGCCCATGGTGGAGGCAGGTGCTCCCATGCACTGCAATGAGAGCTCCTCTTCCTCTGAGTTCTCCAGTTGTGATGGCATTTGACTGGCTGGCTTTGCTGTCACTGTGGCCCCATTAGAATCTCTATTAGGATCCTTGGCCACTGATGGGTCTTTGGCATCCACGGCTTTCTGTCTGTCCACTCCTTCCCATGCACATTCCACTGCCTGGAGGATGTAGGCAGTGCGTGTCTCGTCCAAGACTGATGAGGTCTGTTGCAGCAAGCTGATATCTTCAGCCTCAGGGAAGAGTGCATCATAGTCCTGGAGGAACCTCTTCTCTTGTAGCAAGGAGCTGAAGATCTGAAGGAACTCCTCGTTGAAGCCCTGAACATTGTCACAGCTGCTTTCTAGGATGGGAAGGAGGCAGATCTGGTTCAGGATGATGTGAAAAACCTCCACTAGCTTCTTCTTGCAATGGGAGAGCCTCTGGCACAGGTCAGCCAATAGCTTGCTGTCTTCAAGCCTCCTCTTCTGAATTGCAGACTCCATTTCTGGAATTGCCGCTTCATAAAAGGAAGCTAGTCTGTAACAGAAGTCGTGTTTCTGGAAGGTTGGGCAAGCCAGCCAAAGGGAAGATATCCCGAAAAGCCCGGAGGGTAGTGCAGGTATCACAAAGGTAGAGAATAAGGTCCTTTAGCTCCTGGAGAGGCATGTCGCTGGGGGTCAATCAGCCCCTCTCCTCGAGCTTCTGGGGTGTGCTGCTGGTTCTGTCCCCTTGCAGACCACAGTGCTGGAGGATATTGCTGAAGACCTGAAGGATGGTGGGCATGGTTTCATCCAGGTCATTATAGTAACTTGGTTGCTGGTTAAAGATATTTCCTATCATCTTCTGGAGTAGTGGTGAGTTGCCTTTTCCAAAGAGCATGCAGAGGTCCATGATCTTTGGGATGTCAAAGAGGAAGTTATTGTAGAGGATTTGTCCAAATGCAAAAGGGGAAATGAAGTGATCTTTGGATTCCTTCTGTGTGGACATGCTGAGGAAGGTGAGGAAAACACTCCGATGTAGGTGTTTCTGCATTTCAGCAACCTCAGGGGTCAGGGCCACCCACTCGTCGAATTTACGGGGAACATAGCACAGGTAGGAGTCTAGGCACTTTTGCAGGGTTACATCAAAGATTACCTGGCACCAGAATTTATTGTGAGGCAAGGCCAGGAGCCAGTCAAGGTCATTGGCTACCAAGGTGGCTCCTTCCAGGTGCTCCTCCACTAGGGCGGGAATGTTGTCTTTAGGGGGCAGTTTGTAGAACACAAAATACTGGTCTGCCTTCTGCTTGGGGTGCAGCGCTAGTGAAGTCCTATGCTTTCCTGTCCTCGGGTCCTTGTGGGTGATCTGCAGCTGATCCAGGGACAGAGCTGGCATTATGCTACATGACCTTCCTCGGAGACTTCACCACCTGCACCGCCTTTCTGGGTGACAGCTCCGGGAGCTCCCGCACTTCAGAGGTCAAAACCCATGAGAGCCATTTTCCCATCTCTCATCCAGGCTTGATTCCTGGACATGTTCTGCCATATATTTATATCATGTTGTGTCCTCTGCTTACTTAGCTGATTCCTCTCCAAGTCTCAAAGTTGATGAGGGCAGTGTGAAAGTGCTTGTGCTACTAGCACTTAGCAAAGGTCTTTTCTTGTGTAGGCACTGAAATGTTTATAGAACTAGCAGGAAAAAAGTTTATGGCAGAGCTGCCACGGATTACTGTGTGGGTTGAGATTGGCAAGCACCACAAAGGCCAAGCCTTGGTATCTGGTACCAGGTTGTAACTGCCCAGAGAAGGGAGTATTTTTTTTTTCAAATTCTCACAAATATACTGATAGCTACATGGCCCTAAGGGTAGACAGGATTGTCTCATTTGTGGTTGTAGAAACTTTTTGGTTCCAGGATATTTTTTCTTAGGAAAATATCTTGGATAATATAGCTAGCATAAAATAGGACAGTATTTGGGAAATCTAGGATAGAAGTGTGGTTTCAACACTAGTGCATATGGAGGCCTTCCTAGGTTCCTAGGTAAGAAATATTCATAGAGTATATCCAGTAGACAGAAAGTTAAGAGGTTAAAGTTTTGTAGAATGAAAAATGAGCCACATCTTTTTTTTTCTTCTAATTTCACTTAAATGGTTCCCCCCCACAAACATGTAGGATTTTAATTTGTCTCCAAAGCCTTAGATCTAAATAAAATTAGTGCTGCATATTTAACATATGCTTATCAACCTGTTCCTTGATGAAGTGTGTAAAAATTTCATTCCCATTGTAACAGGAAGAGTAGTAGGAAGACCACACAAGTTGTCACTCTCAGAAGTCAGGAGCTAGAGTTAAACAACTGGGGTCTGAATTCCACCTTTACCACTTTCCATCTGTGGCAGATTACAATCTCCATAAGAGTTCCTCTGCTTTTCTTGACTGGCAGTACTCTCATCAAGGGGAGTGGGTAAGGTGTTTGGTACCCTCCTTTTGAATCTAAACAGGTTATAAAGTCATACCTGGAATAATAATGAGCAAAAGAAGAAACTATGGATACAGTTACAATTGAATGGATCTCAGGGGCATTGTGTTTTGTGAAAAAAGCCTATTTCAAAAGGTTGCATACTGTACGCTTCCATTCATTTATATGAGATTCTTGAAATGGCAAAGCAATAGGGATAGACAACAGATCAGTGGTTGCCAGTGGACAGGCATGAGGGTTGGTAGGTAGTGGGGGTTGGAACTACAAAGGGGTGGCATGAGGAAGTTTTTTAGGGGGCACAGGCATACACACAAATCAGTGCATGTATAAACTGGTAAAACAGATTAAGTTCTGTAGTCTAGTTAATAGTATTGTACAAATGTTTATTTCCTGTTTCTGATACTAGTCTGGAGGTGTAGAAGATCTCATCATAGGACAAGCTAAGCAAAGCATTTGCTAGACTCTCTTACTGTATCTGTAATTTTCTAGTCAACTTGTGATTAATTCAAAGTAAAAAACATGTTTTGTAAATGCAATACAGTTACCTGTCTTCCTTGGATACTTGCTTTTGGAGTCTAGCTTTAATGTTATAGGCCACATGGGGAGGCCACATGTAGATTCTGGGTGACAGATTCATCTAGAGTCTCAGCTAACAGACACACGGAGGAGAAAACATTTAGGACAACTCCAGCCACAGCCTCTATCTAATGATAACTCCATGGCTGATGCTAAGTATCGCTAGGTGAATATCACCTAGCTGAGTCCAGTCAGCCTCCAGAACCATGAGAATCACCAACAAGGTGACTATTGTTGTAAGCTACTAAGTTTTGAAGTAATTTTATTATGCCACATAAGATAGCTAGTACACTATCAGTGTGACCCAGGCATCTCTGTGTTTCAATTTATGAAAGGGAGAAGGTACACAAGCTTATTTCAAGTGTGAAACAAGTATTCAAGTGAAGAATACAGAGCCAAGCTTATATGAGGTTAATAAATGTTAGCTACAGTTATTATAGGTTATCTAAGTATAACAAGGGGACAAGAAGGAAATGGAACAGTTCATACAGTTCTGAGCCTATTCCAAAATGACGCTAAATGACTTTTTGCCTCTTATCCCCTGAATTGAGACTGAGCCACAAGAACTTGGCAACGGATGGCTTCTATCTTGGGCACATCCTTAGGTGACCTCTCTTCCTTGGTTTGCCTGTGGGATAAGCATGCATTCTAAATATAAATGAGGGCTCTATTAAGCTGTCCCCCTCCTCCTGAAGCCCCAGAAGTAGTCACATTTTTCTTCTTTCTGGGTAAAAACTTTCAGAGACAAAAGTATTTGTAGGTACTGATCTGATCCCTGAGGTCAAAGGATATTCTTTCATGGAAAATGTCTATTTCTTGAACAACACGTGAGCTATTTTTGAAGTCCCGTATTGCACTACATGGCATCACAAAAGGCCTTCCGTCATTTGTCCCAGTGTGAGCACAGTGTGCTAAAGCAAGGTATCTTTAATTTCCCTTCTTAAAACATCTTTTGTCAAAAACTAATTATGATTTTCCTGTAATTCCCACCACACTCTTACCTCCTAAAGGCATACTGTCAGTGTTCCTGTGGGTAAGGTTAATGTTATAAGGAATCCACTTGTCAAAAAATAAGCTTTTGAAAGGAAAGTTTATTCTAGTTAACAGGGGCTAAAATCAGGAAATTCTAACAGCTAGCTGGGAAAAGCTGAGTTTAATCACATCCGAATAAGGATGGGCTGACACTGGGAGAGAGATGGCAGCAGCTAGCTGGGAGTGATTTCATCCATGAGTGGATGGGCTAACACCAGGAGAGAGATATCAGCGACTAACTGAGAAAGAATTAGACTTATGTAGCTATTGATGGGTCTAAGGAATCTGGGGTGAAATATTTATGACTTGGATGTCCAAGGACCATGGTCTATCAGGTGTGTGGACATTACTGAACTTTTTGGCACCAGGGGGTTGTATACTTCATTTTGAGTCCATTTGGCTTATTTACTGTGAAGCTGCTGTTGTTTGCTAAAAGCAGCCTGCTTGCTTTGTCCTGTTTGTTTGTGAAGGATTCACATAAGTCAGGCCTGACAGTTAGCAGACAACTTTTGGAAGATAAAAGCAGAAGGAAAGGTAGAATTGATTAGAAGAAACCTAGGGACCAGAGACTATTCTCAAAGGAGTCTGAAAGTCCTTCAAAATCAGACACTAAGCAGGGCCCACTTCACCCAAAGGTGCTGACCATAGCTTCCTGACCATGTGGGCACACACAGTTGCAACAGAAACCCGCAGAAACATTTGGAAAAGTACCTAGAACTTAAGACTCTGGAAAATGCCACATCATTAACTCTTACATTCTGTTCCTTACCCCTGATCTGTTATGTTTTATGGTATTTACCCCTGCAATCTGGATTCACCATGGCTGACTGAGCTGAGTCAATCTTGTCCATGACATTTAATCCCTAGACAGGAAGAAACAAGAGAGAGGATTAATAGATGAGATGGCATTGGCAGAGGTAGGAGGGGGATTCTGGAGAAAGCAGGGGCCTATATGCACGCGCGCGCGCGCTCACACACACACACACACACACACACACACACGGGATGCAACACTGGCTCGAACTTTATCTACTTTAATGTAAAACAACATTAAACAATAACTTTGGCTCCCTAGGTCTTCCTCTGCAGCTGTGAGGCTATCACACTGGCATACCTCCTCATATTTGCAATTAATCACCTTTATCATTGAGGTTTTCACATATGAAGTGGTTTTGAATACAAATGTGCATTTTCTCCAGAATCTCTTGAGTTGTCTGAAAAGTCAGGCAAATATCCTGACAGCTATGGAATCAAGAATTCATGACTTAACAAATGACCTTGCTTTACAAAGCACCCCGGTGAACCCTGCCACTCTCTGAAGCCCACTTGTGGGAGTTCTTAAGAGGATGACAGTGACAGCAAATCCAGTTTAACCACTTGAGATTCAGAAGGGGAATAAAGGAAGTTGAAACAACAACTTTTAGAATAGTGAACCTCAGAGAAAATCTTCTACAAACTAAAAATTGCTGATGCCAGCAAAGGACATAAAGTACATGATACCTCCTTAAGGTATGTGCATTAGCAATTGCTTGCAATGAATTATCATTATCTTTTAAAATGGCTCATATTAGCCAAGCAAAACTTTGTGTAAATTTACTACATCTGGTAGTTTTATCAACCCTCTTTCCTGGTTCTCAAACTTTAGCTTTGATAAAAATGGTAGCTTGGGGGCCGGGAATTTAGCTCAGTGGTTCCGCTGCCTGCCTCAGAAGCGCAAGGTCCCGAGTTCAATCCCTGGTACCAAAAAAAAAAAAAAAAAAAAGGTAGTTTGACCTCTTGCTGACCTTGAGCAACTCACTGCTATACTCTGGGCCTCAGTTTCCTCCTGTGGAAATTGCAGTGCTAGATGGTGGTGGGATTAAATGAAAATACCTATAGAGGGGCACATGCCGCAAATCTGAGTTCCCTCAACTTTTGCCTTAGTTAGAAACTGAAGACTTGCTACATTGCTTCTCCAAGAAATTGTGTCCTATGGTGCCAACAACTGGAAACTCCAAACTTTGGAAACACTCTATTTGCATGGTTGCACCTTGAACCTAGTATAAGGCTAACTTTATTTATAGAAAACCATTTGTCCAGAAAACAATTTATTAGGGCCAGGGATCTAGCTCAGTGGTTCCACCTCCTGCCTTCCAAGCACAAGGTCCTGAGTTCGATCCCTGATATGAAAAAAAAAAAAAAGAGAGAGAGAATCAGCAGAAAACACTTTATTTTCTAATGCTACAGATTGTCAGCAGAAATGGTAAGGTCATTAATTTTCTATAGAACTCCGTCTGTATCTTGCTTTTCTGTAACTCTAGCTTACTTGGCATAATTCCACGTATATATTCCAACTGCTCTGATAGACCTCTAGAGTCTGTCACCTTCTCACCGCCTCAGGACTGTAGGGATTCATTCTTCCCTCTTCTTCACATTTCTTTCTTATTCTATCCTCCACCCACAGAATGTTACTAATTTCCCATAAGACTTACACAGATCAAATTAAGAAAAGTGTTTAGAATATTGATGTTCCCATAAGGTTTATATAAATTAGATGAAGAAAATAATTTTAAAGACATTGTCAACTGAGACTAATATTTCAAAAATATATACTCACTCTGTATTTGAATGAAAAACAAAGCTGGATTTTGTGGTTGGGTGTGGTGGTACCTGCCTGTAATCTCAGGGAAGCTGAGGTAGGAGGATCACCCTGAGTTGGAGGCCAGCCCAGGTTACATAGTGAGTTCAAGGGCAGCCAAAAGCCGACCAAACAACCAAACAATAACTGGATCTTATATACAATGTACATAATGTTATATACAAGTTTATTTATATAGTATACAGATTGTATATATAATTTGCCTATATAATTTGCATGCACAATCCCTAAGCACTGGCCCAGATATAATCTTGCTAAGCCTTCTTCTTTTTCTGGCAGTGTGTGTATGGTATGGTATGAAGCTTCCCAGGGCAGGAGCCAAATCTAACTCATTATATTGTATTTATTAGCTATATGACTACCTAACACACACTTAACCCTCAGAAAATATTTGTTGAGTGAATGCAGAAATTTGGAGCCTCTGTAGAAATTGAGTTTCTCTTAGAAACTTACTGTCTTGTTTATGTGGTACTCTATATGTTGTTCTTTCACATATCCAACAGATTCACTTTTTAAAGAAATGGATTTTGAGAGGAAAACACATGGATCAGAGAAGTATGGAGTATAAAATAAATGTAGTAGGCCCCACCCTCTCACCCATATCTTCACTTTTCATGGTTTCCGTTACATGTGGTCAACTCCAGTCTGAAAAGATTACATGGAAAATTCCAGAAATATAAAATTTATAAATTTTAAATAATATTTATTACAGTGTATTATAATTTTCTATTTTATTAATATTGCTACTAATCTTTTTCATTGTATAAAATTTAAACTTTTTGGCTATGTTTGGACCTTTTTATACTTAACACAATGGAAATGTTCATATTTCTTTTTTTCACCAAAGGAAAAATTTCTGAATCATTGATAGGTCACCCAGTACAATAGTGCTGATCTGATTATTTCTAATAACTACCAAGCATATGGGGTTAATATAGTAGCCCACCATCTTGGGATCATCTTTTTTTTTATAAGAATAAAGAAATAAAAACATCTCTAAGTAAGGAATTGGGAAAATAATCGTTTACAACCAAAAAGGCAAGAAAAGTAACCAAACTTGCAAGGAGTGTGTCCACGTGGTTCCTTCACAGGGCTCCTCAGGATGCTCTTGGATATGTTTCAAAGTCAGCCTGTTGTAAGTCTCATTAATTTAAAAAATATAGTAAAACGCTGCTGCACTTTCTAATAGATATAATCCCACTGCAATCCATCCCATCCATTGAAGGGAGTTCAGGAAGGCTCTGGGCCTTCCTGGTCAAGTGGCTCATATA